ATTTTGACCCTGAGTGTGTTTGCATGTACATATTTGTGTGTGTCAGCCCTCACCTCAAGGTGATTGGCAGGTGTAAAGGAGCATGTAGACGATACCCCGCTCTCCTCTCAGTTTTGGTTTTCAGTTGCAAAGCATCTATTATGTGCTATGTGACACTTGTGTGCTGCTGGCTCGCTAACTGCCATTTGCATTAAAGGCGAAGTGAACCCCTCCCCCCTCTCACACACGTTGGTCCCCCCCCCCCCTTTTACGGTATCATCTACCACCACCCCTTTGATTGCTGCAGAGCTGTAGCAACAGGCTGCTCTTTGGTTACTGATTATTTGCAGTATAAAATCACTTTGTTTTCTGGTCTGTTTATAATTTATCTGCAGGGAGGCTGTCGCTGACCTACATACACAGCCAGGATGGCAAACTATCAGACAACAGTCAAACACTAAACACTTGTTCAAATGTGGTTGTGAAGTCTGACGTCTTGTCACTTCAGCAGCTCATCAGACAGCATTTGGTTCACTGTCACCATTTGTTTGTCACTGTTAATTTTGCTACAACACATGATCTGTAGAATCTGTTATCATGGCCCCATTAGTGGTTTTAAAGTGTGGAGAAAATTACTGAAAAAATCCTGCAACCTGTTAAACGATCTGAATTTTTGAAGTCTTCTTTTCAGCTCTGTTTTTTTAATGGGCTTTTTTTTTTTTTTTTTTTTGGCGGTGGATTTAGTGAAGGGGCGTTAACTGGCTCCCAGTGTTACCAGTTGGCCCAGTTTCTAGTCGTTTATCTTGTTTCTTGCGTTTATCTGAATATCAGAGCTTTATTCCTGCAGGGGCCCCTGCCCCTGTGCACATACTATAGACATGAAAACCTATAAGCATACAGCACCCACACCCACCTCGGCATGATAAAGGTTGTGTGTGTGTGTGTGTGTGTGTGTGTGTGTGTGTGTGTGTGTGTGTGTGTGTGTGGTGGCAGCAGGGGAGTTATAATGTACATCAGGGTTAGATACGTGGAGCTCAGAGAGTGAAGAGACGAACAGAAGCTGATCAAATTTGAGGGACAGATGATGAGATTAGGAAAACGGTCGAAGAGTTTGAAAGACAGAAAGTAAAAATACGCAGAGGAGACAGATCCACAGAGGAAAAAAAGACACACAGACAGAAAAGATTTAATGAGGGGTGGCAGCGGTTGTGCCGGTTGGACAGGATCCTGATTGGCTGGCTTCAGTCGACCAGGTATCCCACTCTGATAATGTCACCTGTGCAGCCTCCAACCCCCTGACTCATAGCAGCAACTGTATAGCTCTCCATAAAGCAGCTATTCCATTAGCAGCTTCTGTCTGAGCCGCAGGTTAACATGTTTTATAGTGAACGTACTGTAGGAAGAGTGATGTGTACATTTGCAGCTACTGGACAAACCCTGCTTTTTTCTTTTTTCTTTTAATATTCCTTCCTTTGAAAGCACATATCCTGTTATTTCTCACCTGTTCTTTTACATAATGGAGTTTCATCAAGATGTCAGTTTGAGTCAGTGTCTATGTTATATGAAACTCCGCTCTAAATGAAACAATATTGGGATGAAACTGGTTTCACTACAGAGCACACTTGAGCCTCTAAAGCATGTTACAGCATGAGTTTACTTCCACATACCCAACCAGTATATCGTGGTGCTAACGTGGTTTACCTTCTAGCAGATGTTGTCACAATTACTTTGCTTCAAGCTGTCGTCATTACACATGTAGACATGAGCAGATTGAGATGCCAGAGCATGCGACATTCAGCAGTTTAATTGCAGTGTGTGTGAAATTGCAAATCAGTCGTGAATCGATACAGGTGTGTAAATTAGGGAAGGTGATTAGAAAATGATATTTAAGAGGCAATTTCCCATTTCAGGTGTTAATTGTATTACTTAAAGGGACAGTTCACCCCAAAATCATTTTTTTTTCTCTCTTACCTGTAGAGCTGTTTATCAGTCTAGATTTTTTTGGGTGTGAGTTTCAGATTGTTGGAAATAGCGGCTGTGGAGATGTCTGCCTTTTCTCAAACGTAATAGAACTAGATGACACTCGACTTCTGGTGCTAAAAGTTCCTTGTTGTGAGCAATTTCAGGTAGCAGTCGATGCACGCTTCCCTCTGAATGGTGAATCGGTTGGCGGCTGTAGTTTGGTAGAAAAAAAATCGTTCCTATGTGAAGCCCCTCACAAGAAGGTGTGTGGATTATCATGAGTAACCGGGTCATGATTTCTGGAGAGACATTGCTGTCGAGTTTTTCAAATGTATTTTTGGGGCGCTTTGAGTACCACAATCTGAATGCCATCCCGTTTCATTATTTTATCTCCAACACTCCCTGATTGCAGTACATCTAAACATCATATAGATTGGGCAAGCCTGGGCAAAATATAAAAATGCATCTATGTGCTGAAGTGAGGTGCATATCACCAGGGAATGGCATCTCTGTATCCCAAATACCGACATTTATAGCAGTTTTTGGAGGTGAACCTTCAAATGTAAAACTAAATATTAGAAACAGGATACCGTGTCCACGTCCGTGTTAACAGCAAATACTGAATGAGACTTGAAACTGGATACATGTCAGTGAGAGGGATACTGTGAGCGTGTTAACACTGTTCACACTTCACTGTCCTCACTGGCTCCATCAGTTGGCTGGGAAACAGTGAAACCAGACGACACATTTCAGCACTGTTACGCTGCTGTTACGTGTTTTCAAATGAGCAAACATAACATGAAAACCTCCAGCTTTAATAATTCATTCAGATGTGCGTAGTGTTGCTGTTGTTATGGTCGGAAAAGTAGTTGAACTGCATTTTTTTTTTTTTTTGTTCATGCTGTGGTGCAACATCTGGAGTGAAGCCTGGGATCTGACCGTTAGCTGCTTGTTTCCATGTGACAGCGCTCCCACTATGCCAGGGAAATATTTGTTTGTGTGATCAGGACAGAGAGAGAGAAAGAACGAAAGGGGGGTGGAGAACAATTAAAGGAACATGGGGGGGATGGGAGTTGGGGGGTAATTTCCAAGATTTATGGTGCCGCACTTCACAAAATGCATGCATCCTGTAATTAAAACTCCCCCTTGCCTCCAGCAGGCCTGTACATTAGCCGGCATCCCCCACCTCAACCCTCTGCAGTCCCCACCCCTCTGTTCCCCCTGCCCGCTAGATTATAAGATCTCATGGGCAGCTTGGTGTCACTAATGAGGGCTGAATGCCACAATGAGGGGCAGTCTGTTCGTGGTAAGGGGCCTCTACTGTCACTGTCATACAAGCCTTTCATTTTCACTTTCTCTGGCCGGGTGCTTTAAAGCAAACGTAGAAATCCTTTAGTGAGTGGCTGCAGTTTGGTGTTTTATTCACCTTCACTTGATGATGTGGTGGCAGAGTAGTTCAGTGGTAAGCAAGCTAGTTGGAATTTGTTTTCACTCAAATGAGTATGCAGTAGACTCCGTGTTTGGGTTTTAGCAGATGTTTGATTTTAGTCCTTTTTTAACAGAAATGTCAAATGTTCTTCAGTTCCACATTCTCCTGTGTGAAGATTTTCTGCTTCTCTCTGTATTTGTATGATAGAACATTGAATATTTTTCTGTTGTGGAATGTTGGTCTGACAAAACAAACTATTTGAAGACGTTACTTCAGGCTTTGGTAAATTGTGATGGCCATTTTTTCACTTTTTTTGTAGAAGGATTAAATAAATGGAGGAAATAATCAGCCTCTGGGGGTAACAGCCAATATTATAGGGTCCGGTGTAGCAAGTGAATATCCGGCTTAGACCTCCTCCTCCCTGCGCTGGCCATTTCAGTTTATCTCTGTAAACAGATATTTGCATATGCAAGCAGATAAATAAAAAGAAAACGACATCATCATCAGACGATAGCCGACAGGTTCCGAGATTACATTTTGTCCGCACAGACTATTTACCTGCAGCTCAAACGTGATAAGTGAAACTACTTGGACTACAGATGGAATCCAGAACGCTATTGATACCAAAATCTTGTCCCGTTGCCAAAAGATTCTGCACACAAAATATTGTCAAATTGTCTTGTTTGTATCCCGAGTTGCACATATTAACAGTCCTCTAGTGCTGGTCATTGGTATATAGGACTTTCATCAGAAAACAGTGAAAAATGTCCATCTCATTTTCTCTGCTAAAGGCCAAAGTGACATCTTTAAGTTGCTTGTTTCGTCCGACCAACAACCCAAAACCCCAGAATGTTCAACTTAATGTCACAAGACAAAACAAAGCCGCAAACTCTCACAATATTGAGAGGCTGGGACCAGAGAATGGTCAGCATTAAGGGAATCAGCTGTAGTATGTGATGGTTAGTTACGTACTGTGACGTTAATGCTTTCTTGTGATGATATATGAAAAGGCTCTGCCTGCTTGCTGCAGGCTGTTGTCTGTGTAGTAACAATACGCTGCCTGTGTTTCACGACCTGCCCTTTTCAATAACAGATTATGAAACTCTATGACCTCACATAGATACTGTGTGATATGTGGTTGTGGATTTAACTGTGAACCCCTGGAGTGTGATACTGAAGCCGCTTCCTCATCTATGAATAGGTAACAGTCAGCATCAAGTGTGTGACACATACACAGGGAGACCCCCAACAAGAAATTTCAGTGTCAAACTGGCAAACTGGAAAAACAACCACAGGCTTCAATGGCCTCACTGTACTCCCCCGAGTCGGTGCCCCACTTTTACTGCTAACTTTCACCGAACTTTTCCAGAGCCCGGGGCCCCGCCAGCAGCTGGGCCCACATCAGGTTCTCATCAAGCCAGACTTTAAGTTTCTCTTTCTGTCATTTCTTCTTATGATCAGAGGGCAACTGGCTGGTTTCTGTAAAAGTGATGAGACTGTCATATACATATTCAGCTGAACACCCTGCTCTTCTTCTTTGGTATTGTTATGTTGGATGTCAAACATTTGTTGTATCTCTTATAAAATCATAAGTTGTTGCTTCATGTGTCTCCTGTCTTCCTCTCTACAGCTGTATGAACTGGATAGAGACCCAAAGAGAAAAGAGTTTCTGGATGACCTCTTCAGCTTCATGCAAAAAAGAGGTATGTCCCTGTCTGTGTTTGTACACTGTACCGCTCATTAAAGTACACCAACATCCATTCAGTCGCTTATCTGTCCATATTATATCACCTGGCTTTATCTCCAGCCAGCGTCACACAGAGACTCTTAATAGTTGACTCTGTGACATATGACACAGCACCGTCTACTCATCTTTCACTCACATGGGTGGGGTCTTTATTCAGTTCGGAGATGATTGCTTTATGGTTGCGCAGCCCCTCATCGTTCCCAGGCTATAAGGAGAAGGAACACATCGTATCAATGCCTGGGAGTGGATTGGTTTACCTTCCCATCCTGCTGCTTATCCACATGGCCCTGCACACACACACACTCTGACTCATCCATCATGCAGGATCTTCATACCGGCTGACACACACAGCATGCAAACACACAAAACTGCAAACAGAGCCAAATAAAAAAAAATCCATTTCTCTTCATCTGAAGAACTCATCTTCATACTTAGGAGCATTTAGGATTGTGCAATATTTTATTTGCATGTATCCGGTGCACACATGCCCAGCGGCTTATTTCAGATCTTTTTCAGCAGTCTTTTTAATTTGACAAGATGATTCATGGCTGATATAATCAAATCAGCAGGCTGACGATTGACACGAGAGACATCTGACATGTGCTCACAACTGAAAAACCAGTACTAAATGTTTACAGTGTCAGAGCCACTGGCTACGGGCGGATCTGCCAAGCCCCGTCTGAGAATGTGAGAGTGCCATCTGCAGGGCGTAACGACAACTGAGGCATCGTCTCTTAATATGGAGATCTAGGATTGATCATATTTAATGTGAAGCGTGGGCCTGATGATTCTGTTTGGGACCACTCTGTGTTTAAATGAGTATAATTTGCTAAGATTATTGAAGGCTTTGCCTTTTTCTTGCTGGGGAAAGGACTTTTGACACAGATAAATACAGAATTGGAGGTAATTGATTAGGGCTTGTCCCAAGGCATTTTGTCTTATGCTTGTTTTGTCATTAACTCACACTTGTGTCATTTGAAGACATGAAAACAGCTTTGTCAGGATGAGTAATGTTAGACAAATACTAGTTTGAGTTCTTTATGTTAATGCCCTAAATGTTTAAATGTTTGTGTCTCTTGAATTCCAAATGGTCAAAATAAAAAGATCCATCACAATTATTAAGTGACGTAACCTTGCTGTGTGCGTTTTCAAACTTAAAAACGAAAATCCAAACATCCTCAAGTCTAATTGTGCATTGAAGGATAAAAATAGGTGAAGCAAATGTCAAACATGTAGGGTGGTGAGTAAACAATCATCATACCTCAGCACCTTCATTCTAACTCCTGAACAGCTTTAAGCTCTTTTCAAACATGTGTCAGACCCCAGCAAGCATGTCTCTGTCGACATGAAAGGAAGCCTCCTGTCATGACACTGTTTTTTATCTCTGTGTTGACCTTTCCCCTCTGTGTATGTGTGTGTGTGTGTGTGTGTGTGTGTGTGTGTGCGTGTGCGTGTGTGTGTTATTACAGGAACCCCAGTGAATCGTATTCCCATCATGGCCAAGCAGGTCCTGGATCTGTACATGCTCTACAGGTTGGTGACAGAGAAGGGCGGCCTGGTGGAGGTCATCAACAAGAAACTGTGGAGGGAGATCACCAAGGGACTCAACCTGCCTACCTCAATCACCAGTGCAGCCTTCACCCTCCGCACACAGTCAGTACACACACACACACACACACACACACACACACACAGGGCTGTGATCACACCTCCTCCTGTGTTTTTCCTTTGGTCGGTCACTCAGTTACATGTGTGTTTGGTTTGTTTGGATTCTCACTGTAAGCTACAAGCCACAGGGGCCTGTCAACCAAACTGGCAAGTAGCTATTTTAGCGGACAGTTCGGATTACTGTTATTGCTCCGAATAGAAATCAATAACACAACTGATTTGAATTTCTATAACTTAAGTCGGCCGCAGCCTTCATACCCATAATCCGTTTGTTCTGCTCAGCAGGATCAAGCATGTGGTGCTGCTGGCTATCAGATGTCAACAACCATTTCGTTTGACCAATTAACCCTTGTGTTTGAAGTCACTTCCTGTAGTTGGTTCAGATTGCAGCATGTTCTCGCTCCTAATTAGCTGCACCGTAGATCCTTTTTGGGAGAATGAGACCTGAATTTTCAAGAATTTTGTGCTATTATTCAATTTTCCTATTGCTTCAAGTTTTTGTCCATCACTTGAAATCTTGTATGATCGAGAGCCGGCATGTTTCACTGTTGCCAGTGATCTACTTGGAATGCTAAGTAGGTGTTAAAGGGGAACTACAGCAATTTAGTATTGTACTTTCATATAGTTTGAAAGCTTGTGTGAGGCAGAGGCCATGATATCTGGACTTCTTGTCCCTAGCATGAGTGAAACTCAAAAACAATAGCTCCTACACTTCCCACAATGTATCTTGATAGCATCTTCATTAGATCCTCCCTGCCTGGTAAATGTTAAAGTCTGTCAAACTCTGTTACAACTCTGATCTCTGTTAAAAAAATGTGTCATCTTTAAGCACAGTCTGAGATAATCTTGATGACATTGCACTACATTATTCAGCATACGCTTCTATCTTCTTCAAAGCGACCCACAAACAGTGCATTGAACCATGTGGGTACAACAACTAACATTTACTAATTTTGATGTGTAAAATCCACAGAATACTCCTTTTACTAAGTTGATTAATGGTTTAATGGTAAGTTTTTGTATTGAAGTTTTAGGAACTAATTGGCATTTCAGCAGGGTGCTAAAGCTCAAAACATCCCTGTGCCAACAGGCCTATAATAAAACCTAAATACATTGTAATCCTCTCAGATACATGAAGTACTTGTACCCATACGAATGTGATAAGAGGGCACTGAGCAACCCTAACGAGCTCCAGGCAGCCATCGACAGCAATCGGCGGGAGGGCCGACGACAGAGCTTTGGCAGCTCCCTCTTCACCTACTCGCCCAATGGGACGCCCACAATGCTCTCCTCGCCGAAGCTCCCCTCAGCCAGCGTGGGCCTGACAGTGGGCACCAACGGGGCCTCGCTGACCACCATCCAGAAGATCAAGAAAGGTGAGATTTGTGTATCACGCTGCGCGCACATCACATAGAGTCGATGTTAGAAGACATGGAAGCATCAAAGCGGTCATTTTGAGTGGTCAGAACATTGAATAACTGACTCTAGACTTTGATTTTGTCCTCCCTTTTTTTTTTACATTGCTAAAAATTGTGATAAAAAATGTGCTTTAAATCATTACAACCTGCCTGTATCATTAACAAATAAATATATCAGTCCTTTACATGACTGGAGATAGTTCGTCTGTGAAGTCAGAAGTCAGGACGTTACCAAACTTTGAGTTTTAAAACAGTATACAGTGCCCTCCAAAAGTATTGGAACAGTGAGTCCAATTCGTTTACTTTTGTTGTAGACTGAAAACATTTGGGTTTGACATCAAAAGATGAATATGAGACAAGAGATCAACATCTCAGCTTTTATTTCCAGGTATTTACATCTGGATCTGATACACAACTTAGAAGATAGCATTATTTGTAATGGAACACAAAATTTTTAGGTGAGCAAAAGTATTGGAACATATAAACTTAAAATAGATTAAAGTGAATGAGACTTAATATTTAGTTGCAAATCCTTTGCTTTCAATAACTGCATCAAGCCTGTGACCCATTGATCACCAAACTTTTGCATTCTTCTTTTGTGATGCTTTTCCAGGCTTTCACCGCAGCCTCTTTCAGTTGTTGTTTGTTTTGGGGGGTTACTCCCTTCAGTCTCCTCTTCAGCAGGTAAAATGCATGCTCTATTGGGTTTAAGTCTGGAGACTGACTTGGCCAGTCTAAAACCTTCCACTTCTTGCCCCTGATGAACTCCTTTGTTGTTTTGGCAGTGTGTTTTGGGTCGTTATCTTGCTGCATGATGAAGGATCTCCCAATCAGTTTGGTTGCATCTTTCTTTAAATTAGCAGACAAAATGTTTCTGTAGACTTGTGAGTTCATTTTGCTGCTGCCATCATGTGTTACATCATCAATGAAGATGAAAGAGTCCGTCCCAGAAGAAGCCATGCAAGCCCAAGCCATGACATTACCTCCACCGTGTTTCACAGATGAGCTTGTATGTTTGGGATCATGAGCAGATCCTTTCTTTCTCCAAACTTTTGCCTTTCCATCACTTTGGAAAAAGTTAATCTTTGTCTCATCAGTCCATAAAACTTTTTCCCAGAATTTTTGAGGCTCATCTCTGTACCTTTTGGCAAATTCCAGCCTGGCCTTCCTATTCTTCTTGCTAATGAGTGGTTTGCATCTTCTGGTGTAGCCTCTGTACTTTTGTTCATTAAGTCTTCTGCGAACAGTAGATTGTGATACCTTCACTCCTGCCCTCTGGAGGTTGTTGCTGATGTCACTAACAGTTGTTTTAGGGTCTTTCTTGACAGCTCTCACAATGTTTCTGTCATCAACTGCTGATGTTTTCCTTGGTCTACCTGTCCGACGTCTGTTGCTTAGTACACCAGTGGTTTCTTTCTTCTTCAGGACATTCCAAATGGTTGTACTGGCTATGACCAATGTTTGTGCAATGGCTCTGATTGATTGTCCATCTTCTCTCAGATTCACAATTGCTTCTTTTTCACCCATAGTCAGCTCTCAGTTTTCATGTTGGTTCCACCTCTAAATGCAGTCTGCACAGGCAAAATCTATCGTACCCAATCTGAAACTGAGCTCAGACATTCAGTGCTATTTATTGTTTGAATAATCAATGAAATTGGGAGACACCTGGGCAACAAAACACACCTGTCAGTCACATGTTCCAATACTTTTGCTCTCATGAAAAATGGGTGGGTTCAAACAAAAGGTGCTATCTTCTAAGTTGTGTATCAGATCCAGATGTAAATACCTGGAAATAAAAGCTGAAATGTTGATCTCTTGTCCCATATTCATCTTTTGATGTCAAACCCAAATATTTTCAGTCTACAACAAAAATAAAGGAATTGGCCTCACTGTTCCAATACTTTTGGAGGGCACTGTATTTACTCCCAGAGAGCAGAGATGGTGATTAGTATTTTTGCGTAGGATGCTCAAATCTTTATCCTGTACGTTCAATAGAAATTCATTTGCTGTCGTCTCTGTTGTTGCTGTAGTTAAGTTAACAGATCTTAATCAGCTCTATCTGAGCTAACTGTCTTCCTCTTTCTGGCCAGAAGAGGAGGGAGGCCAGACGCTTCCGGGGCTCGGTGTGGCTCGTCTGCCAGCGGGAGCTCTGGCTGGGCACTCGGTGGCTGCTGTGCAGGCAGCAGCAGCTCAGGCAGCCATGGCGGCTCAGGTGGCGGCTCTGGAGCAGCTGAGGGACAAACTGGAGGCCGGCGAGCCACCAGAGAAGAAGATGGCGTTGCCGGCCGAGGAGCACCAACGACTGCTGCAGAGAGCACTGCAACACAACCTGCTGGCCATGACCGCTCAGATACCCATGAACATCCGCATCAATAACCAAGGTAGTGAACGCACAGCGTTGTTTCTGATATATGCGAAACTAAACAACCAGTCAGACATGATTTCTCACACCAGATCAAGAAGCCTGTGTTTCCTGTGAGCTGAGGAAATTCTTCCACGAAATAATCTGTCACTGACTCAAAAGATTATAAGAATCTCCACAAATAAAAAAGTGCATATCAATACTACCACATCACATCTGCTGTGGGCATCACTATTTTACATTTCATTGTTTTACCCCAGAATTTACACGAGCTGGATTTCACACACTCTCCCTCTTCCTGACAGCATCTCAAGACATTCCTGTCATCTCACCTCAAACCACAGCACCCAACAGTGAGGAAGTAACCCACAGCAGGTCTATAGGTTGACCTGTTTAGCTTATAGATGCAGCGTGCAAACATACAGTACATGTGTGTGTGTTTGTCTGAGCGGGGGATTCCCTTCTGCCACTTTTCCTTCTGACTCTTTGATCTTATAGCAAAGTATATCTTGGTTGCTATCTGTGTGATTCAACACGCAAACTGTTTCTCAGTACTGATAATACAGGTGATTTCAGAGAAATGTGCATTTGGAGGTTTTCTTCAAATTCAAGCTCTTGAGTTGCCCTTTTGGTTTCCAGATCACCGAGGGAAGTCAACTCGATGTCACAAAGTCACATTGTGGTCTGTATACTGAATAAAACCACAGTTTTGTTAACACAGCTCTACTTTGTGGTTTGTCTTCCTCACAGAGGGCAGGCAGGACTCAGCCCTGAACCTCACAACCAACGGCACAAGCAGCATCAGCATGTCAGTGGAGCTCAATGGAATAATGTATACTGGTGAGTATCACTGTCACGCAGCACAGGAAGTCCAGCTTACCACTTCCTTTATTCTCAGTAAATATGTATTCAGCTAAATATAATAGGAACTCTCGGTTATTCTCATTTTATGACTATTTCATGTCTTTCCGAGACTGAGTGAGAAGATCGACACTTGTGTCTGTGTGTTAAACACGGAGCAACAGTTGAACCTGGATTAGCTTAGCTCACCATTAAGACTGGTGACGGGGGGTGCAGCCAGCCTTGTTTCTTTTTAGCCTTGAAGAGAACAGTTTGTGGTTTTAGGGGGAGAGAGGTGATGTGACTACTTCTTGGTGTACAACAGCCAGGTGCATCTCTAGAGTCTGCCTGGTTTTGTACCAGCAAGGAAATAGTCTCAGTTTGGGATCACTTTTAAACTCCTATTCTTGTCTCACTCACTTTTATAGTTTCAGGTTGATTTTTACACTTAAATATCTCTGAACATCGTCCTCTTACTGCCCAGACATTGTAGTCAAGATAGGAGAAGAGAAGAGAAGAGAAGAGAAGAGCTAATAAAATGCCCTCAGTGATTAACATGTGCTCAGAGCAATAAATTTATCTTATCGAACTGAAAGAAAGCAAATTAAAGATATTTCCCAAAGGGGTGTCGGTAGCGTAGTGGATAGTGCCGGCGCCCCATCTACATAGGCAATGTCTCGCCGCAGCGGCCGCAGGTTCGATTCTGGCTTGCAACCCTTTGCTGCATGTCATCCCCCCCACTCTCTCTCTCTCTCCCCATTTCACACTGCCCTGTCAATTAAAGGCAAAAAGCCCAAAAAATAATCTTGAAAAAAAAAAAAGAAAAAAAAAAGATATTTCCCAAAATTTTGAACAGTTGCCTTAAATATTAAATAACTATGGGAAAAGGCAAGGTAGCTGTTTCCTCCTCTTCCAGCCTTTATCATGAGCTAGGCTAACCTCTTCCTCTAGCTCTAGCTAACACGATGATCTTGTTATTTAACTCTTAGAAAGAAAGCACATTTTTAACTTCTCCTTTAAAGGAGACCTTTTATGCTCACAATGTCAGATGTTTCAAAGTTTCAAACAGAGACAGTTTCAAACAGAGACAGTTAAAAGTACATAAACCTCCGGCTACAGATCGTTTTTATCTCCTCACTTGCTTATTGACACAAGGACATTAAAGTGTTTCCACTTTTGTGACAAGCTGACATCAGCTCATGACATATTTCTATATGGTCATCTGCTGCAGGCATGTTACCGCAGATATTTAATTAAGCACATTGCTGTCAGGGGCAATTGCTCTGAGACAACAAGGGAGGCTGAACTTCCACTAAATTTTCATAGAAGAAATGGTCAAATATGCACTATTGAATTTACATTAAGATAAGGTTCAAACGTCAGCTGTTTATCACCTGTTTTCAAACGCAACCTCCCTATCATACATTGTTGTGTCAGCACGGTGGACGCGGAGCCTCCAAGCATTCCTATGAGACAGCGCTGAGCAGGTTTTTTTCATGCAGCAAAGCGAGACGGTCATTGGATAAATGCGACAAAATCGTCACCTCCAAGGAGGCTCAGCTTCCCTGGGACCTAATGGAGCAGTAGGCGTGAGAGGACGCTCGCTGTATGCATGATGATTGGAGAAACTGTCTAAAAGGCTGAACCTCTTTGTGATTGACAGCACTTTGGAAATACACACTGGCATCGTCGCATTTCGAGTTCAGTCCTATGCGGATATTTGCGAGTGGAGTCTTCTGACATAGTGCCGTGCAAATTTTATGATGTAAACTTAAAGTGAGCTTCCCCTGTTTGAAAGACCAGCTGCCACCACTGATTGCTACATGTAGCTACATGCTAGCATCAGGGAAACATGTAATTTTGGTTGCTAAAGTAAAATTCCTTCCCAATCTATGATCATAATCCTGCTGGATCATGTTTGGTTGGCAATATTTTGGTTTAAAAGCTTTTACTATAGTGATTTTTCCCGGTAGAAAGGTCAAGCCAAACTCCGTTACAGTCATTACCTGGCTGCAATGAAGGTGCAGAGATGCCTAGACACGGAAGACCCGGAAGCACTGACCAACCACAGTAGACTGAGCTTTTTTCAGAGGGTGAAAAATGCCAAGGGGCGTCAATACTTTTGCAAGGCACTGTAATAGGTCCTCTTTAGGCTTCACTTTAAAACTGAGATGAAGCTTAACAGGCATACTCTGTATTCTAACCTGAACTTTTTGGTTCTTTTCGTGTCTAGGTGTTCTTTTTGCTCAGGCAGCAGGAGGGTCAGCCCTGTCCGGTGCACCTGGATCGTCCGTCTCCAACAAGACGGTCAGCAGTCGTGTCGCTCCGCAGCAGCAGCAGCAGCAGCAGCAGCAGCAGCAGCAGCAGCAGCAGAACACACCTACCTCAACCTCAACTTCCAGCAACCCATTGTCTTAACAAACCCCCAGCCTTTCCGCTTTTATTTTTTTTAATTACCACGCTAAGTAAAGCCAAAAATCAACCTCATTTTCTACATAATCTATGCCAAAAAGAGAAGAACCATAAACTGTACAGAACGACACAAACTGAAACTCAGATCACTTGAAGTACACTATCTCAGGTTTTCTCTCACCAACTCACCTCTTTTGTTCTTCATAGCCAAAATGATTTCGGAAAAAAAAAGAAAGTATATCTCAACTGAGAGCCAGTATATGCTAAACAAATATGTATGCACAACCTGTGAATTATTTATTTCTGCATAAATGTACAGATTATCGGAGAACAAAAGAGAAGGTAATAACTAGGAAGGGTAATGCACTGTTTACACACACAAACACAGCTACTGATTGACAGCAATGTTTTATCCTCTAGGGGAGAGATTTTTTTTATTTTATTTTACCTTTTCATTGTCATTAGTGTCATTATTGTTATTCTCTTTACTGTGTTTTATCATTTAAATCTTTAACAATCCTCTCACTGCAGGAAAAAAAATTATATATTTAGAATTCTATAAAAAAAAAAGAAAATATGAATATTCTCTATTTTTAATCAGAAAAGCTTTAAAGGTATGTGTTGTTTCGTCAGGGCATATAACAATTTACCGTTGTGACCTCATTTTGTGTAAAACCTTATTTACATGGCAGCCATTTTGGATCTCTGTTTGGTCCGGTGCAGGTGTGTGCTCCCATTTTGATACACGTCATATCAAAGCCACAGATTTCTCCAATGAAACACAAATTTAAAACAAGAATCTGAAAGAGAATTTGCAAGAATATCGGTTCACTTTTTTCACACATTTGATCCATTATTGCTACCATCTGGGTAGTAGCTACTTAGCTACAATGCTTCGTAGCGGATGAATTCAAGCAGTTGTTGTGGTTCTTCTTCCTGAGAACAGCTCTCTCTTTTCTATCTCCTCACCTGCTTGTTGACCTAAGGCCAGTTCAATGCAGATCTGCGCCGATCTCATTTGTCAAGCTTAGTGTTCAAAATGGCTGTTTTTGAGTAAGGTCAGGTGTGCAGGTGGGAAAAATGAACTAAAGCCTTTCTTGAGGGTTTTTCTTCCCCTTTGCTGCACCTCAACACGCTGGACTTTCCAAGCCTCAGCGGCATCCACACCGACTGTTGCTGTTTGAGGTTCAGATTGTATGTGAATAACACACGATTGTTCTCAGGTGTCCAATCTGCTCATCGCTTTGTACAACATCTTGACAGAGCAATGCTTTTCAACATCTTTCTCTGTGGAAAGATCAATTTTCAGCTTTTTTTTTTTTCTAACCTAACTTGGCCTTCTAGTGGAGTGATTGTCTTAAGGTCAGATGCATGTCTGTATTTGTAGATAAAGCCCTTCAGCGATCAGGAGTGAGGCAGGAGAACTATGGCTTCCTGTCTTAAAGTCACAAGAACTGTGTATTCACTAAATCCTTGTCATTGTGGAGACACTCACATGGACAATCAGGTGTCAGGAGATGCAATGTGAGCTTCAGAAGAGGTTATCTCAGCTCACATCTGACAATTTGTTTTGTATTATAGATTACAGATGCTTTTATTTTTTGTTTAAGCTTTGTGTTTTGCATGACTTAGTGCTTCTTTGGATCCAAGCAGTTCTTATCCTGAGCTGCGACAAGGACCGGGTCTCCTTGACACGGGCAAGGATATAACAGAGAATGTCTTGGGATCCTCTCACTGTTTTTAGATGTTGCTTAATCGGGGCTTTTGACAATGTGATCTCAGAGGTAATCATAGCTGCGGCTGAGCGCTCGCCATGTCTGTGTTTGTACGAACACACACGCTGCAGTTTTATAAGAGGTTAAATCGACCACAGTGGAGATACCATATCATTCATGTGTAGCCGTGTTGCTGCAAGTAGATCATTCATTTAGCTTTTTGAACTTTAACCTGTGTTACCTCTCTGGACTGTTAAAGATTGTTACTCTCCTCCCACCGACCCTGACCCCCTATGCAAAGCAGCCTCATTCCTACTGACGCTAGGAAGAAAATCAGGCTTTGTATGTGGGTTCTGTTCTGAGGCCTTAACACAGCATGAGATGACCAGAGAGCGAGCAGTACCTCCGTCTAATCAGTTTTTACTGTTGTAGTCAAATATCACCAGATGGCTGTCGCTGCTTTGATTCTGGACTCGCCTCTTGGTAGGAAATCACCACCAGCTGCTACATAAACACCGGTCAGTTTTGAAAATACTCTTTATACTCGGACAGCCAAAAACTCTTAGTCAAAGACGCGTACAATTATTAAATGCTCTCCACTCTCCAGCCTCACTTGTTTTAGTACTTACAGGGAAAGAATTTTAAAAGTTCATCAGAGGCAGAACTAGAAGTAGAGACAGGATATCATTGGTTGACTTATATGTCAGTATAACAGAAAACCGGTGTGTTTCAGTAGTAACGAAAAAGGAATTCTGGTCAAAATATTAACAGAACTTGAAACAGAAATACTAATGTGTTTTAGGTGAGAAGCAGCAAATTAAACCAGTTTGTAACTAGCGCTGCACGAGTTAGTCAATTAACCAATCACAGAAAAATAATCTGCAACTAATCGATAAAACATTGGTAATTTTTCAGTCAGAAATGGCAGAAAATGCTGTTTTTCAGCCTCACAACTCTGGACTTTACTTGCTTTCTCTGTTGGACGTCATTAAATTCAATATCTTTGGGTTGTGGAATGACAAAACAAGACATTTAAAGACATCGCCTTGAACATTTAGAAACTGGGATGGACATTTTTCACGATTTCCTGACATTTAATAGACCAAACTATTAATCAATGAATCGTTAGTTGCAGCCCTGTTTTTAACTCACTCTCAAACTCATCGATGTGTTGATGTCGCCACCTACAGGCAGCGAGTGCTACTGCTGCACTTAATTGCTTCGTAGTTGCTGTTTTCTTTGTGTGTTTGAGGTTTTACATTTTTACATGCCAGGAAAACTGGCCAGATGTCTCTAATGGCACCTCAGCTTCACCCAGCTACAGCCCTGTGACATACACAAACACGCACACACACTACACAGGACCAAGGCAAAGTTCAGAGGCTATCAAATAATAATGGAGAATCATTGCATCTCACTAACCCTTAGTGCTCTTTTAATACTCAGACAGAAACTCACCTAGTGGCTGCAACACCAACTGTAATATTTTTTAATTAATCTTGAGCCTTCTGGGGCATTTGTTATTATTTTAATGGGACCTAAGTTTATAGCTCAACTGCTCAACACCAAACACAGAACTTAGTGATGTGTGTTAAGGAAGCTTGTTTTGGCGGTTTAAAATAATAGATGGAAAAACCTCAAACACTCATGGAGAGTGGTTATTAAAGAGAAAAACCTGCAGTTGGCACAAGTGCAACAGACTGACTGAAGGGTGGCACAGGTCTGCCGCCAGTGCACCTGAAACAGCTGCTGTTGTCGTGGTTCTATTACAAGACAAAGTCTGAACCACATCGAGGCAAAGCAGCAAATCAACAAAACATTGTAGGGCTAGCTTTCTTCTATTTCTTCATTTTCTAAAGCTCCTCAGTAACAGCAGCTCTCAGGCTCTGACCACCAATGTTTAACTCAACCAATGAAACCGCTTTTATGTCTGAGAAACATTTGCAGAAGTCGTTTTACAGATGGAGAAGAGATGCAGTTAGTCGCAGTCATGTGTCTCCACAGTGAATTTAGCTATTTGGGGAAGAGCTAGTTTGTTTTGCAGATGTCGCTTCAGTCCGGCAGACCAATCAACTGTTTTGCCTTTTACAATTTAAATAGCATTCATTCTGTTTTGATGCAGTCTGATTTCCACACTCACAACACCATTTGATTATTGATCAGGCTCACAGTATAGATGCGTTACAGAGGAATGTATATAGCCTATGCAGTGAAACCTGTAGGGAACATGTCAAACAGGCAGTGCCTTCTGGCTGCGTCCTCGCTGTGGACATATGAGTTGTGTTGAGAGTCGTGTACACATGCGCACTAACAATAGACACCTTTGACTATATTTATACCTTGACTACATGTGTTAAGCAACAGTCATCTTGAGATTTTTAATTCCAAGAAACAGGGAAAGTGGTTAAATTAGCTTTAGCTACGGCTCTGTCTCCAGCTAGCTGCAGTATTTTAACTCTTTTATAGTTCTTATGAATTTTCAATGCTGTTTTTTTGTTTAAAACATACGCATTTGATAGTATTATAGTTTCTCTGGTTAAGTACAATCAAAACAGGTTCTGGTCTTAACTAAATTTTGACCAAATGTGTAGTCACTGTCTTTTGCCTTCGTAGGGCAGAACAGTCTCTACAGTGATACTGATGTATGCATGCTATGCTAATTTATAGGTTTATTGGCCATAGATAGAAAGACCCAGTATGAAAAAAACATTTGTGGATTCCTCCATGTAAGGAGCTGTTAATTTTATCAGCTGCGATGTAAACATTTTTTCCTACTCAGTCAGTTTAAGGACACAGAGAAAGCCCATCATGCCTCTCTCTGCATGAGTAGCAGATGTCACAGTCGCTGGTAATGGCTGACAATCAAATAGAGACATGCTGTGACTGAAAGCATTAGTTGGGGGGGAGGGCGGCTGTAGAAAGCAAAATTCAATCAATACTGATCTAAAGGATCAACATTGCTTCTTTAGAGTTGACCCCATGACCTTTTGGCCCCTGAGGCAACATTCAAGCACCTGCCCCCTTCAGTGGATCCATGTTTATCATATATAGCTATCGACCGTCTCCGTGAGATATTTGCATTTGAACAGCGGAGGTACTGCAGCTCTCGGTCGCTGGCTCCTTTTCAGTACGTGCGCAGCAGCATCTTCAGGGAAGGTTTTTAATTGCATGGCAGCGACAATCAGGAGATGTTTTGACAACACTGTATACCTCCAAACATCCCTTCAACCGCAATCAAACCCCCGTTTCTACCTCAAGAACCAATAAAGCTTTGGCAGATTGTCTTCGCTTCAGCCGCAGCAGACTGCTGGAGGTTGAGTTCATGCAGGAAACCCTCATCAAAAATGTTGTTGATGACTTTTATGTGAAAGAGATTGTAATACCACAGACAATCAGATATCAACCTAAGTTATGCAAGGGGAACAAGAGACGTCGGTGTAGCTGAGGGTTCAAAACCTGTACCAATAGCTCCCCTCAGTGGAAGGTTTTTGTTATGACGCACAATCAGTTTCTAAATGGTAATGCAAAAAGGGTCTGAGCTTAGACTGCAATGATTCAGCGTACTGCAGTCTGAACATTAACTGCAAAACAAATGCATTTCAGTGTTCATATCTTCATTTCCTTCCAGTGTTTCCTCAGTGTTTTCCTAGTTGAGCTGACGAAGCCTCTTTAGATCATCTCGGGACACTAAATGCTCCACTGAAACCAGACTCAAACTCAAATAATCAAACACTGTCTAGCTTGTTTCTCTGTAGCTATAGTCCGACATGTTCCTCCATATAATCAAAAACATCAGAGCACTGTAGCTGTGGAAACTGTATCAGTCTTAACTCTGCTATGAGAGAAAAGACTCTCTAGCAGGTTGTGGTTCGGACTGGCATTTTTATTTCTGAATGCTACCAGCTGCTTTTTATGTGTCTGTGTTTTTGTAGCCGCTTTGTTTTTATCATGCTCACACAGGAGTTTGCATCTGCAGTTCTTGGCTTTTTTTTATTCGTCAAACTTACATTATAGTCGTGTGGTACAGCAGTTTAAATGCTTGGGTTGATTTCAAAAGTCTGCTTGTTTGGTGCATTCATGTGCAAGTATCAGGATTTTGCAGCGATAGATGTCCATTTAAATTTTGTCAACATGTAAAAATCCCAGGTAAACAATCCATCTTATTGCATAAAATCTCCTCAAGAACCTGAACAACCCTGTCCCAGAATGTTTGTATTTTTATACATGTGATTGGCACTCGTCTGCTCACTCTGTCTCCAGCGTTGCTGCTGTTTTTTTTGTTTTGTTTTGTTTTGTTTTCTATGTGGTGTGTTATAAAAAAGCAGATTACATTTTTAATCTCATTCTCAAAGCAAAATGCATTTTGTTTGTCCTGCAGTGTGATATCAGGACTAAAGGAAGGTAGTAAATCAATCAGCACAAACCCTCGGAGTCTCCTGTGGTCGGCTTGCTCACTCTTTGTCATAACTTTCAAGCATTTTTCATTGAAATATTACTGCTTTGATTCCCACAAAGGCCTGTAGCTAAAGGACCTCCTAAAACCTTATAGATCCCAGAGTGTCTTGCATGGAAAGTTGACTCCTGTTCCCACATGCTGCCGACATGGAAATCCTGCTGGAACATTTACGGGTTAAGGTGCATGTGGGGTTTAGGGGCTTTTGACTGAACTTCACCACTGACGTTACCTCCATCAGGGCGACTGTGGGCAAGGAAAATGAGTAATGACGATATGCCTTCTGCTGTGACAATTGTTGTATGAATTAACCTGTATTACTAAGATTCATTTAATAGAGTATCTCTGGAATATGGCTTTTTAGGGCTATGAATTGTACCTTTGTTTTTTCTTTGATATGCTGTAGCAACCCGGGCACACAGAGATTACATTCAGAGCAGATTTATTAATAGAGTGACAATAATGATGATGATTAATAATGTGATTATTTTAGGGAAGCATGTGATGTGCGCGTGGGCTTCACGTGTCTTTGAGTTAACTTCACATTTAAAACAAGGCTCTTGCTCTTACAACTTCTCAGGAAAATCTACCTCTACCTCCAGTTTGATGCATTTAATCCAGTTCAAGTTACAGTTTAGTGGGTACAAAAAGAGGGCATGGAAGTGGGCACCAGTGTCTGAAATGAACTCCAACATACCGGTGTAGTACTTCAGATTAGTTATGACTTCAACAAGTACTGTGGTGTATTTATATAATTATATTGGCTGGAGACAAATAAGAAGCAGATGTATATTTATCACCATGGTCGGTGAGTGAGAGATTTATTTTGGACTCTGGGGTGTCTTTCTCTGTCTCTCTGTTTCTCTCTCCGTGTTACAGGTTCGTAACACATCTGCTGTTTAGTTTATTTGCGCATCAACAGGGAACCTCCAGCTCAACATTTAAGTACTACAACAAGTAGTTGTCGTACCACTTCTAATACCACTGTCAGTACTGCGAGTCGTTTTTCACTCTGTTCTTTTAATGTGTGCTTATTCCTCCTTTTTCTACAAATGATTACCTTTTTTTTTGATGAATGGGATATTTCCCAGTAACCACGGTAACAGTGAAGTGGAGGTGGGCAATGCAACTGTTTTGTTTTTTTTAATCCTTTTTGTTTTCTTTGTTTTTTTTTGAAGAGTGAAGAGCTGTTCTTGCCTATTTACTCAATATGTGTTTGTGTGAATACTTTTATTTTGAATCTGAAATTAATAAAATATCATCTTTCTTAAATGTCACCAGAGTTTTGGTTGTTTTTTTTATGTATCCTAAGATATGTTAGCAAATAATATAACATAAATTCCTTTCTTTTTCAAGAAGAAAAGATGCAGTGTCTTGTTTTATGTGATAAGTTAATGTGTTTCTATACAATAACCATGTCTACATTTAAATGATTCCTCACCAATAGACAGATACACAAAATAATACAGAAGTCATGACACAGATTTGTGTTTTTTTTTGTTTTTTTTTTAATTTTGTGCCGAATTAGGTTCAATTCAAATAATTTGCCGAATTAGGTTCAATTCAATTAATTTGCCAAATTGGGTTCAATTCAATTCAATCGTATTCATAAAACTAATTATACAAATTATAATTTGCCTCAGAGGGCTTTACAACATACAACATTTCTCTGTCCTTTGACCCTCACATCGGATGAGGAAAACTCCCAAAAAAAATCCCCTTTAACAGGGAGAGAAATGGAAGAAACCTCAGGAAGAGCAACTGAGCAGGGATCCCTCTTCCAGGACGGACAGACGTGCAATAGATGTCATATGTAAATGTCCTATGGAGATGTCCTATAGGACGAAATACCTACAGGGAGAGGGAGAGAGAGAAATACACAGCAATTACAATACAGTAACAAGTTAACAACAATAATAGATATATGAACAATAATAATAATAATAATAGTAGTAGTATATGATAGTATATACACTCATTGGCCAAAACATTAAAACCACTGACAGGTAAAGTGAATTACTTTTATGTGGTTTTAATGTTTTGGCAGATCAGTGTATTTTACATGTATATATTAACATATAATAGTATCTGTATGTGACATTAATAATAATTATAAAACTCCTGACAGCTGACATCACTTTCACATAGATGTGTCAATAGTGTGTATGCATGTGAAAACACACCTTCATGGGGTATTTCTAAGACTCCACAACATCCACACTGCTGCAGCCGCCGATTGTCTCCTTGTTCCAGGCCCAGAGTCGCTTGAACCAGTTCTTCCTCTTTTTCCTCTTCTGGGGCACTATGATGATGGAAATCAAAAGGACATTAACGACTCAGCTCTCCTTGGTAGAATCAACAACAATGTGAAAGACCTTAACAATTCAGACACAAGAGGAGGTGAGCATTTCCTACCAGGCGTGATGTCGGTGAATTCTGTGTCCTCCTGTTGCATGTCAGAGCCCTCAGCTGAATGGGAAGGGAGCTCCACTGATCTATTTTCACATAGTTCCTCCAGCAAATCCGATGGACTACACGAATACACAAACACAGAGTTAATAGTTTCTTCCCTAATCTGCTCTAATGATGGCCTAACTCCATATCTGATGAATGACATGTCTAGAGGAAATTATCTCACCTTGATGTTTCACTCAGCCTGCTGTCCTCCACCAATGCCAGGCGGCATTCAGGTGGTGCAGGCTGCATCAAGATGACACCTGGAGGTATTTGTGCTGCATCAGATTCATGACACTCACTGTCAGAACCCAACCTGTGGAATTAAGGCACATGCAGGTCAACAAACAGCTGACTGAGAACGTATCCATCATTTAATGTTTAAAAAAACCAGACATGGCTGAAATGAGGAGAACAGTCTTACCAGTGTGCTCTGTGTGCACCCTCCGTCAACGATGTGCTGACGGAGGGTGTTTGTGGAGGTGGAGCTGAGGCTTCACATATGCTGCTGAATGAAGACAGGCAGCAGTTATTATAAGGCACAATTAATTTAAAAACAAGAACTCACAAGAGATAATAAATGCAATTAACAGTACTAATCTGTGTTGGATTTTGATAATGATCATAACTAGTTTCAAAAGCTACAGTGTGTGTGTGTGTGTGTGTGTGTGTGTGTGTGTGCGCATACTCTTAATGCAGATTCCACTGAGGCTACTGCAGATATTAAGCTAGTTGGTAAGACATTTAAACTTTACGGGCTCCTGTTAGAGCAGATAAACACTGTCTGATCCATTCTTTACACTTTTGCTTCTGTGTTTTGGGTTTTGGAAAGGTAAAAAATACATAAATACTTTTTTGTTTTAGCTGCAACACCTTCCAAACCCATTGTTTGTATCCTACTCTGGCCCTTTTCATGCTTCTTCTGCCATCTACAAAGTCCTTTCAGGATATCCATAGCTCGTCTGTGGTTAGATATTTTAAACAGAACTTGTTAATTTCTTTTAACCTCAGTTTCCAATTTTTGCAGTTGTAAATAATATATGTAATTTAAAAAATCCACAACTAAAATATTTCAAAGTTTAAAGTAAAATCCTGACAAAACAGAACCACATCGCAGAAATCTTAAATTTGAGTCTCAACTCGTCCTAATTTAATTTGAGATATCTGAAACAAATTCAAAAAGTACTGGAGTGTCTTGACATAAATCCTCCAGCCTATTTCTGGGTTCATTTGTATCAGTCACAATTTGATTAAGATGATTCTCAAATTTGAATTGAAATGTAATTAGATATATTTCAAAGAAATGTTTTGACTACGCATTAATAGACTGCAGATCATGTGAACCCTGTCACTCTGATGATAAATCAGTTTGCCATATGGGCTACACACAGTTAATATTTTCTAATGATGGCCTAACTCCATATCTGATGATTGACATGTCCAGAGAAAATTCTCTTCCCAAGATTCTTCACTCTGGCTGTTGTTGTATGTGACAATAATAATAATCATATGTGTATAATAATAGCATCAGTATGACTAATAATATTAGCAGTAGTAACTACACAACTCCTGACAGCTGACATCACCTTCACACAGATGTGTCAATAGTGTGTATGCATGTGAAAACACACCTTCATGGGGTATTTCTAAGACTCCACAACATCCACACTGCTGCAGCCGCCGATTGTCTCCTTGGTCCAGGCCCAGAGTCGCTTGAACCAGTTCTTCCTCTTTTTCCTCTTCTGGGGCACTATGATGATGGAAATCAAAAGGACATTAACGACTCAGCTCTCCTTGATAGAATCAACAACAATGTGAAAGACCTTAACAATTCAGACACAAGAGGAGGTGAGCATTTCCTACCAGGCGTGATGTCGGTGAATTCTGTGTCCTCCTGTTGCATGTCAGAGCCCTCAGCTGAATGGGAAGGGAGCTCCACTGAACTATTTTCACATAGTTCCTCCAGCAGATCCGATGGACTACACAAATACACAAACACAGAGTTAATATTTTCTTCCCTAATCTGCTCTAATGATGGCCTAACTCCATATCTGATGAATGACATGTCCAGAGAATTTTCTCTTACCAAGATTTTTCACTCTGCCTGTTGTCCTCCGCCAATGACAGGCGGCTCTCAGGTGGTGCAGGCTGCACCAAGATGACACCTGGAGGTATTTGTGCTGCATCAGGTTTATGACACTCACTGTCAGAACCCAACCTGTGGAATTAAGGCACAGGCAGTTCAACAAACAGCTGACTGAGAACGTATCCATCATTTAATGTTTAAAAAAAAAATACATATGGGCTTTGCACAGTTAATAGTTTCTTCCCTATTCTGCTCTATAGCCTAACTCCATATCTGATGAATGACATGTCCACAGAAAATTCTCTTACCAAGATGTTTCACTCTGCCTGTTGTCCTTGTCTAACGCCAGGCGGCTCTCAGGTGGTGCAGGCTGCACCAAGATGACACCTGGAGGTATTTGTGCTGCATCAGGTTTATGACACTCACTGTCAGAACCCAACCTGTGGAATTAAGGCACAGGCAGTTCAACAAACAGCTGACTGAGAACGTATCCATCATTTAATGTTTAAAAAAAAAATACATATGGGCTTTGCACAGTTAATAGTTTCTTCCCTATTCTGCTCTATAGCCTAACTCCATATCTGATGAATGACATGTCCACAGAAAATTCTCTTACCAAGATGTTTCACTCTGCCTGTTGTCCTTGTCTAACGCCAGGCGGCTCTCAGGTGGTGCAGGCTGCACCAAGATGACACCTGGAGGTATTTGTGCTGCATCAGGTTTATGACACTCACTGTCAGAACCCAACCTGTGGAATTAAGGCACATGCAGGTCAACAAACAGCTGACTGAGAACGTATCCATCATTTAATGTTTAAGAAATAGACATGTCTGAAATGAGGAGAAGAACAGTCTTACCAGTTTTTATACTCCATCGACGTGCTGTAGGGTGTTTGTGGAGGTTGAGCCAAGGCTTCAGGTATGCTGCTGAATGAAGACAGGCAACAGTTATTAAAAAGGCACAATTCAATTAAAATAAAGAGCTCACTAGAGATAATAAATGCAATAATATCACTGATCCATGTTGAATTTTTATAATGATCATAACTAGTTTAAAAAGCTACAACGTGTGTGTGGTTTCTGGAGATAGTAAGCTACTTAGCCAGGCATGTTAACTCCACTAGCTCCTGTTAGGGCAGATAAACACTGTTTCAGCAGCATCACCTTATAAACTCATTGCTTGTATACTGAATATAGCTCTTACTCTGGCGCTTCTTTGTCTACAAAGTCCTTTCAGGATATCCATAGCTCCTCTGTGTTTAGATATCTTAAATCCAACTCATATTAATTTATTATAACCTCAGCTCTACAATTGTTAATACTATGTGTAATATAAAAAATATCTGGGTTCATTTGTAGCAGTCACAATATAATTAAGAAGTATCTCAAATTTGAATTGTAATGTAACTCCCATTAAAGCTCACTTGCAAACGCAGACACTTACTCAGAGCTAGGTTGAAGGGTGCCTCTCCTGATGAATGGATGTGCGAGGACTTGACTGGGGGTAATCCTCTCGTTGGAATCCATCCGAAGCATTGCCTTCAGCAGATCTATGCATTCTTTCTTCTCAGCCGCCTCCACCACGTTCAGTTGCTCCATTGGCCACTAATGTGGGGAACAAAGGGCAAATCCAGTAAGGTAAACTTTATGATTCATGAAAAGAGAATCTATTAAAGTCCATCTTCAGCAGCTACAGCACAATCTACATAACTTCCTACCGTTTCCAGACTGTCCGGAT